TTTTGGGGGGGGGTGCAGTGTTTTTTGCTGCCCAGCCTGTGACAGCCTGCTCATTCCAAGTTGAAACCATGTCCCAAAACAGGTGCACAAACTGCTGGGCGCAAGCTGCTGATGGCAGGTTTTGTGGGAGGATTGGTGGCAAAGTAACCGCCTGTACCAAAGAGTGAAGCATTGCAGGTTTACATTGAAAGAGGTGTAGCAGTGAAGCAATTTGTAGGGTTGTCAACATTGAAAGAGGCGCTTTGTTCAAGGAAAAAGGGCAGCTTTTAGTGGGAAGGACAAACGGCAGATTTGTCCATCCACCGGACTGATGCACTTTTTGAGGCTCCAATCACAACAATGGCAGTGGATAAAGGTCTTGATCTTCTGTTTCAGTGTCGCTCACCTTACTCCAATGGAGTTTTATCCAGCAACCTTTGGGTGTTCAAATGATCTGATGGGCAACAAGAGCAAAAACTGCCTTCTTTATGGGCAAAAGGCATCAATTTCAGGCTTTTGAAAAGAACTGTTTATGTGTGCGGAGGCTATTGGTATACAAGGCCTCCAAAGCCTTCTTTCTTCTTGGGTTTTATAAATGTTTCATTGCGAGAGTGAAACAATCCTACATGATGATACAAATATACAAAGCTTCCTGCAGCTGGAGCAATAGTATTATATTTTATAGCATAGCAGCTAAGCTTCGTATGACATCTGGCCATGCTCCGGCAAGAACCTCTCTCCAGTGTCTCCAAGGAGAATCGGTCACTGGAGCAAACCTGGAGGTCTCTCACAGTGTCGCAGCGTTGAACCTCCCACAGCTGGGGTGAACATGGAACCTCCCACTGGAGCCGGAACCTCCTCCAACACAAACTTGCACAGCTCAACTTCTTAGGCTTCGCCACCTGTGAGGAAGCTCCAGGTAGCATGTCATTTGACTTGACATTTGCCACCCAAACTCACTCTGCTCATCTCCTTCGGCTGTGCATGTTGCTGGCGACATGCTGCTACGGAACACCTGATCGCCACTTTCCACAAAAAACGCTTCACTTTCGCCTCGAAGTAGCGGGCCATGCTGGCACCATGCTCCGCCAAGGCTTCGCCTTGCTCTGGACAGGTGGGCCGGCCTTCTGAAAGGGGGAACACCAAAACACCAGGTTACGCAGTTTTGGAGAAATCATGAAGAAAAAAAAGGGAGAACATCCTTATCACCGGAAGCACAACCAGGCTACCCATGGTTTTTCCTAGCCAGGCTCCAACATCTCCTGGTTTTGAGGGACCTTCGATGAAGTCGCAGTGAGGCGCTTCAAGCACATCGTCCACACCGTCCACGCCCTCGGACTGGGAGAAGGTTCCCAAAGAATTGATGGGACTGGAATAGTTGCATATTTCAACCACTTATAACTATCTATGACCTTCAAGGGGTGTCCTGGCTGGAGGTCCCGGATAGTGGTGGGCTGGGGCGAAACCAGCCAGGTGACCCGTTTGAAGGTGCTGGTTTCTATGATCTCTCTATATGTACAGAACTCTTCCGCAATGGATGCGCAATGGGATCCCGAACCCGAACGCTTCGCGGAGCCGAGAGCGCGCGCTTGGCTTGCTCTTGAGCGCTTCAGTGCGCTCTGAATCGAACTTCAGCTGTTGCCTTCGTGGGGTGATTGCTAATCCCCCCAAAAGGTGAGTTGCAGGTGATCCACGTTCTTCCTGGCTAGGTCATGCAAGTTGAAGAGCGAGTCGGCGAATATCTGTGATGTGTCGGGCAGGGCAGGACGGAGTGGCCGATTTTGGCGGAACTGACCAAACAAAGTGGCAAAGAGCGACCTTAAAAAGCTCTTTTGTGGACCTGAAAAAAAAATAATCCCAAGAGATCCACGAAGGTCGTTGGGGATCTTTCAGGTGGATTTTGGTCCATGTCCAACCATTTCTGCTCTTCGTTTGGGGTCCAACCAACCAGAAACCTGGGCGAATCTGCATTTGCAGAAGTTTGTTTCCACCTTCTTTTCAGGACTGGAGCTGATCCACTCGCAAACGCTGATCCACCTGGACTCGACCAGTCCGGGATCCACCTGCCGCGGTGGAAATGGCCCATCACCCTATACTCTATGCATCACTGATGGAGCCCAGTGGATCCAACATGATCCGGACCTCCGATTCTTCCCGCGTGCTTCGGTGCGGGACATCGGTCCGCTCGGGACTTCGAGCGGAGGAGAGCAGACCGCTTTCGGGGGGACTTTCGCCTCGTGGCCGACTCTCTTGATGAATCACCCGAAGCCATGGAGAACGCAACGCCTCTTCATCTGGGGAGTACCCACACCTCAACACCTCACCCAACGACTTCTAGCCCTTCTGCTCTTCGAGCGGCAAACGCCCGGCAAGTGCCTGGGTGGGGTCATGGCGGCTGGGAGGTGGTTGGTGTTCTTCTCTCTTTGGTGAAGTCTGGGACTCCTTTGGGTGTGTTTTTGCTGGATGCCAACCATCCGTGTGGCATGTTCATCGATTGATGGGGTGGGACCCGGGGGTGGAACACATCTAGCATCCAACCAATAGCCAAAGGCCAAGTCATCGATAGATGCCACATGATACAACAGTACTTATGGCATCAAACAGTGCGCTGAGAGCGAGTTCACTCTGCCATGTCTCTGGTATTCTCTGGTAACCTGGTACATTGCAAAGTGGCATACGGAGAAACCATGGTCATAGCAAGGATGGCTCATGAACCACATGACCCTGCAGTCACATCGAAAAGCTCTACCCAGTCGTGAGTTGACCTGTTTGTGTCAAACTCCTTTGTTCGCCTGCAAACAGGTCCGTGAGCTGCGACCATCCAACCATCCACCTGAAATCTCCGCAATGCATAAGGGGAAGCCTTCTCTGGCAACAAGAATCACATTCTTGTGTTGTAGCATTTCTATGCTTTAGCGCATGGCCTCTTTTGCCATGTAAAACCCATAGATGGAACCAAGAGAAGAGCCAGATCAGGCAAAACAACTACAGTAAACCAAAAGAAACAACACTCCACTTCCAACAAATTGCAAAGCTCGTCTGCCTGTTATTTCCAGAAAGACTTCAGCATGCAGAGCGACTGCCGACCGGTCGCTTTCTCTAGTGTTGGGCGCGCCATCGCGACCAAGGCACTCATCAGGGATCCCAGAGAGCTTCACCAGCAAGCAGCTCATGGTGCCGACCCAGCGTGCCAAAGTTGGCGAGCGGGGTGCGGGGTGGGTGACGTTGGTGTGTGTTGTTACTTTTTCTCTGGGTTTGTGTGACCTGATCTCATGTTTAAACATGCTAGAGGTATGGTGGTGGTGTGGTGTGTGTGTGTGTGTCACGATTTGGACCGTCAAACCTTTGTGTTTTCTGCGATTTGGGAGACCTTCATGGTTTGCAAGGTGAGCCGGGTGAGTCAAAAGGAAGCACCCGAAAGGGTTCTTACAAGGGTTCTAAGTCACCAAACCAGGATGCAAACATCCTCAAACAAACATATCCAGACAGTGAGCGGTGGTATTTCATGCAAATCTCAGCAAACAGATTTGCCAAGTGCTGGACCAAGTGTATACGGCAGTGTACATCAATCAAGTTTTGGGCACTTGCATGCTCTTACCCAGTTGACCCAACTCTGACTGACGGCTCATGAGATATCTTGCCCATGATTGGCTACATGTTTCAACGTGGACCGGTGGAGCCAGATGGCTTTCGTGCCACGCGTGGCAATGCCACGTTTCACGTTCAGCCGGCGTCTGAGGCGGTCACAGCGATGGAGGGAGAGGTCTACCCCGGCTACCCCCTCTTCTCCTTCTAGCTCCGCTCCAAGACCAACAAGCCAGAGTAAGATGGAGAGATGAGGATGCATCTTTCAGTCATGCAATGCGCTGCGGACGTATGGCGCATCTTTGGGACTCGCTTGCGCTTGCGCTTGCGGACATGGAGACGAATGGCATCGGACGGAGTTGCCCCAGTTGTCACCGCCCCCCCGCGGATCCAGGCAAAACCACGAAGAGTTCGTATAGGTCACCAGTGACGGAAAAAGGAAATCGTAGGTATTAAACACCCAGTCACTGTGGTCCCTTCGTACTCGTGGCCGCTTGGGAGGTTGATGGGCTATATATATCCCTAGGGATCCAGTCGTACTTTCTCAGGTACGACTGGACTCTCCTGGCACCTACATAACAGTGCCTCCGTCCTCACCGTACCTGAGGTTCGGTACGACTGGATCCCTGTATATCCGGTATCTAGGGCTACGATTCTACGCATGTCTCACTCACTCCGAAAGGCCCAAAAGGCTGGGTGCACTGGACGAACGTAAATCATGTGCACTGGGTCCATCGATCCGTAACCTGCCAGACCTTCAGGACTGGAGGAGTGGCGCCACAACCAGATCTGTCGAACCAACGACCCCTGACCCAAACGAAGTGATTGGCCACTGGACCAGCTATTGGACTGCGAGTCATGTCTCGAACGCGTACCCAGATTCTAGCATGAAGTGCAAATCATCCCGTATCCCGTAACATCTCACTGCGACTATCTGCGATCATCGTATACGGCCCTGTGGGTCGGACGCCGGCGGTGCTCACAGTTTCTGAGGAGTTTCAGGCACCTCACCTGAAATGAACGTTCATGAACGAAAGCAGTTCACAGGAAAACTAAGAAGGTCCCAAAGAGAAAAAATACTGCAACATCAACCCTAAACCCTCCCTAAACCATATACCGTCATATACCCACAAACATGTGCAACCGGATGTTCTGTACAGTCAGGTTTGAACGTCCCTGACAGGTCCTCCCTCCGGACGGACAGATCCCGTGGTTCTGTCCATTGGACGGATGTGCGGCATTCAAATGGGGGGGGCATCTATGCCATCATACTTTTGATTCATAAAACCAGATAAAGCATGACAAACCCTCCATTTGGATAAGAAAACCTCTTCATCTAAGAAACCTCCCCATCACCTCCAAGCTCCATCGTTTCTTCCTCCAACCTCCCTCAGCTCGAGTCCCGCCGTCCCGACGTCTTCGGCTCCGAGACTCTCCTGCTTTGGGGTGGACATTCCTCCACCAGCTCGATGCCCTGAAACCGAGCGAGCGCTGAGGAAGCGCTGATGGGCTTCGAGGAAGGGGAAGAGTTCTACCGTTCGTGCGCGCTGGCACGGATGAAGCACCAGAAGCGGCCGGTCAAAGGGACTGGCCTAGAGGGCAATAGCATAGGATATGCTATCTCATCATCTACGACAAACAGAAGATCAGCATGTCTGCTATCAAGTGAACCAAAGGGGTGTGTATTGGAATGTCGAACCTCTCCACTTGGACGATCGATACGCATGGGCAAGCACCCATTGGGCCAGGGGGTAGACCCCATAGTTCAAATACACATCCAGTCTCTGCGAAAAGGTCCCGGTCATGGGGGAAGGACCTGAAGCCACAAACCGTACCCACGGAGTGTGTCCATCGCCAGCGCGGCTTCCTCTTGCAGGTGCGACGGGATGTGGCTTCCTCTTGCGGCTCTGGGTTAGTCAAGCTCACGGCGCTTTTCCATGTGGTGCCCAGTAAGGTGTTCTTACTTCATTCATATGGAGGCGCAACTGCGCAACGCCTCAAAGATCATATTTGATCAAATCATATGTTCTAACGGTGCAATATCTTCAGCTGCGAGTGCAACTGCACCTCAGGTTGCTCCTGCCTGAAAAACGCATCAACATTGATGCTATCAAGTTTAATAATCAAATATCAATTATCGACATGTTAACCATTGTCACTCTATTATTGAGTACTAATGCGCTCTTCACTTATAGTCAACACTCAGATCTGCAGCCAAGAGCAAGCTAAGGACCAAGACTGGCAAATTGCACAGGTATGATGTACCACCCGAGGACCTACCGGAAGAGAGCTTCGCTTCACGAACCTCTCATGAACAACTGTCCGCCGGTAGCACTTCAGAATTCAAGGGTACCCCGCAGCATTTACATCCCCTTTTCACAGGACAACTGGAGCCAGACTATTTTTGCATCTTGATTGAGGTAGACTCTTGATTCACAACCCCCCCAAATGTGGATGGCAAAGGCTCTTCATATCGGGGGTTGAAACATCATCAAGGGTCAAGAGTCTATACATCCTTCTGGGGAAACTTGAACTCAAGAACCCTCATCTGCCCTAGAGTGGGCGTTTTTTGTAACTGCAACGGCCACACAATTCACCTGACACGCCAAATAAGCCCCTCTATGCCCTTCTGTATCTTCAAACATTGCTCTGAATATCAAAACTGCCACTCAGAGCCAAAGTTCACATGAAAACTTCCATTTTTTGTGGAATGCATGCTCCAAATGACTGCTTAGCATCCAGATCCAACGCAAAACCATGAGATTGTGTCAAAAGACCCAACATCCGGGTGAAAAGGAACAGATGAAACTCCGAATCGCAATTTTTTTTGAGTGGCGGCCAAAACCCAAGTGAATTGAACTTTGTCCTTCCTTCCCTTTCCTCACAATCTGGCTCACCTGCCGTCTGTGATCCGGCGCATCCGCCAAAAGGTCGCCACGGGTGAAGAATCTCCAATCAAGACCAGGGACTTTGTTAATGCCCATGTTTTTGGTTTCTAAAACCGATGTAAAATCATCCAATCCTCCACTTCATGCAAAAACATTTGCGTTCTCTTTTTTGGTTCCGGAAATGTTTTTTCTGCCCAAAGGAATGCGAAAGATGTGCACATGAGTCTTCGGGAAGTGTGGGATACACGAACCCAAACATAGGGTTCCAACAGTTTCTGCTCCAGCTTGGTGTCTGAGGTGGGCGCAAACGGAGCCCTAGGTGGGTGCAAACGGAGCCCTTTAGCCGGACAAGAACCCAAACGGTTGAATATTTTTGAAAACACAAACATCTCCAGTTCACGTGGGCCCCAGAACCCCTGACCTTACAAATCACACATGAAGTCACATCAACAAGTCCCAAAAACCTCGCACAGTTGAGAGAGGTTTTCAGTGGATTCGCCTGTGTTTGCGTGTTTGTGTTTGTCTTGATAAGCTCACCGACATTGTCGCTATCAGGCCGGAAAACAGAAATGCGCCCCCCTCTCTGAAAAGTGAAGTGTGCAACATATAGCTTTATTACAATCATTGATTGTGGGCTCATGCGCCCCCCAAAAAATATCATACCTGGATGCTCAACATTTAGATCCGTGATGTTCCGTAGGGAATTAAATTGGGGACTGACTGATTACTGAAGTTTTGGATGGTGTCTCTTGATCAAACATGCATCTGGCAAAGCGAACTCTGCTAGCAGCGTAGCATTTTTTACCGCCAAGCCTTTTCAGAACTATTGTTCCCTCTCAATCGTTTTGGCTACGTCATCCAATGTCACCAGAGCACCGACATCTTTCTTGTCGCAGTTTCACACGATTCAGCGTCCCTGTGCGGAACGCTCAGCGCGCAGCTTTGAGTGCAACTCCGAGTTCTCTTTCTTCAGCTCCATATTCTGGTTGTCTCCTTCAATGTGTCCGTGGCAGGGAAAGGCATGAGAAAATTCAGCGACTAGGTGCCGCAGGTACGACTTGAGTGCTATAGAAGAAGAATCAGACGAGGATGAGGAGGAGGAGGAGGAGTCTTCCTTCCACGCCTTGGACGACTTTCGAGGCTTCCCGGACTTCATCGAGGGCACTGGTGGATTGGAGCTCCAGGCTTCCTCGTCAGACTCGTCGGGAGGCTTGGACTTTGGAGGCTTGCTGGACTTCATGGTGGGCGCTGGTGGACTGGAGCTCCCGCTTGCATCTCGTAAAGTAAGGAGGGCACATCATCTATGCAAAGCTTCTTCTTGGGAGGGCCTTCGTCTTCATTCGTGGCTCCATGCTTTGGCTTCCGGAAGTTTTCTTTGAGGCGATCCGTTTCCGCGTCTGACCAAGCTCCACAACGAACACCTGTTGGCATGCGCAGCTGCGCAAGGAGAATGGCCTGCGAGAAGGCCTCACGGGTAATGGGCTTCCGATGGATGGGTCTCCCATGCCGCCACCATCTCAGGATTTGGAGTTGGTGCTGCGGCCTGTGGACCTGCAGGACGAAGCACTGGTGCCAAGGAGCCCACGCGACCAGTGGTGAGGGTCGCGCAGGGCTCCGTCGGCCGGTCGAGACGCCGTCTCTGTAGACCCAAAACATGTGGAACGAGTCCCATCTTCTATGTTGCAATCTGGCTGCAAGAGACCATCCTATTTCATATCCTTGACGCTGGTTCACGTCATTCCTATTTCATTCTATTTCTACATGTAGGTGTCAACATGATGTCATGACATATCATTACCGGGGACCTGCATACACAACTAGGCCCCCAAACTATGGATCGAATGTCATCAAGAGAACACCCCTGGAGTCTTGAGCAACCACGGAGGCATCGCCTCCGAACGGTCGACTGTTGTGCTCAGAGAGAAGCGACGGCCTACTGTCCGCTGGCAAAGGGTATGCAAGCGTCCAGTACATGACATGCTCATCGTCACTTGGTTGAGTGGCATTTACAGGGCTTCTAATTCAGCCAGTAGTTCCATCCAGATTACCCCAACACGTCCCAACACCAAGTCCCCTTCGCGAACGCTGACGGCCAGCCATCGCTGGGGCGAATCAGTGGAATGTCTTCACCAAACTCCGAGGGCTACCTTCGGTAGCCGCCCGGTGGGCACATCCGAACAACAGCGCATCTCTCAGAATTCCAATGAAACCATCCGTGTCCCTTTGGGTGGCTCGTCGGTCTCAAAGGACTGCTCCTCGTGCACAAAAAAGGTATCCCATGGACGTCCCACCGCTCTACTTTCACGCGTGCGACGATGGGAGCACCTTCTTTGGACCCCAAAGCAGCTCTATTTAGTTGGTCGCTACATTGCTCCAAAGGCTTCCAATGGGCTTTGTTCTGAACATGTCAGACCTTTTCTGGGAGCTATGACAATCCTAATGAAAAAACTATACTTGGAATAAGAATGTAGACTCTTGATGAATACACCGGTGGGGTGAAAAATCATCAAACCTGGGGCGCACTTAAAGATGTCAAAATGTCACCCCTGCATTTAAACATAATTGCTGCTGGGACCGCAGCTCGGAAGTACTCAATGATGAATCCAATAAAATCAATAAATAACTACATTAAAACCCGAATGGAAAAGGTGGGTTAACCTGCCCATGGGACAGGGGTAAAGCAAAGGAGACCCTCATGCAGCCAAACCGGAGATCTGTCATGCAGCCAAACGGTCCTATAGCCGCAAAGCTCACTTCTGGTTGTTAAATAAACAATCGGTCAGGCAGCCAGGCTTCACGCCCCTCTCTCTCCTACTCTCTCCTTTGATAGTGGACCATCTCCCCCAATTCGAAGCTAGAATTGAAAATAATTCACCTATTCAAAAAGTTTAATACCTGCACTTAAGGAAATCACCTCAGTAGTGATAGGGCTTGGTATGCCCTCCCCTTAGTGCAGTCGGTAGCGCTACCGACTGCAGTAAGCCTCCATGTGATTTCCTTAAGTGCAGGTGAAAATAATTCAGGGATGCTTAAATCAATGCAAAAACCATGCCCCATTGATTGAGAGCCATGGGCTTACTGAGGTCGGTAGCGCTACCGACCTCCCTAAGGGGGGGGTATGGCATGCCCTCCCCTTACTGCACTGATTTCCTTAAGTGCAGCTGCATTTTGAAAATAAATAGTTTCAATCAGGGTGACCAGCAAGAAAAAAACATGTCATCCGCCGAAAGTACAAACAGTGGTCAGAGACTTGACTTTCCACATGTTCTAGAGAATCATATCCTTGCTTGAATGTGTAGACAGAGATTCAATAACAGCACTGCTGCTGTAATTTTGTACGGATGGTACTAAAGAGCACATGCTTGTTCCATGCCCTACCGAATCACAACGGGTCCTAAAGACAGAAAGCTGTGACTTCACGGGGCGCCCTATGTTTGGGGGGTTCAAGCCAGACATCCCAGCCTTCTCCCCAACTCATAGGGAGATTTAAACATGTCAAAAATAAGGGAAGTGATTTTTTGACTTTGTTAAGTGCAGGGCAGAAACGTTGCACAATCTGCCCGAAAACGAGCGATCTAGTTAGCGA